GAGATAGGAAGTAGCAAACTTTCTTTCAAGCCAATTATCTTTTTCTCCCCTCCACATTCCTTCAGACAGGCTTCATGGCTTGGTTGTTTGCCTCACTGTTTCTCAATCACTGAGTTACGTCCTTCAGGGGTGTATGGCTATAGAAAAGTAGAAATACATATGAAAACAGAAATAGAAAAATCATATACATACATGGGACTTCTACGTACACTGTTCTTCCCTGCCTAGGCTGCCTTGTACCATCCTGGAAAGGCTGACTTCTTTTTCAGGATGCAAAATCCAAAAGGAATGTGGTGGATGCCTTCTTACGCTTTTATTGGCTAAATTTTCCTTACAGGGAATGTATGGGCAAACAGAAGTAGGGGTCACTCTCTAAATAAACATTAACAGAGGTGTATAATGTTTTATGGCTTTGTTTATGTGAACTTAACATTAGTTCCTCAGCATGATTGCTAAAAAAACAGAGTGCTGATGTTGCAAATATATCACAAGTGGTATATATGCATTTGTTTATTTGTTGCTATGCAATATTAGCATTTGTTTTTACTTTTTTGCATGTGTTTAAATATATGATTTTTCTGCATTCTACTGTAACTATTTTTAGTGCTGGCTTGCCTATACTTAACATTTCTACAGCAGGTTATGGAGTTGAATTTATAGTAGGCCAATGGCAATCATTTTGCATCTTGAAGTGCTGACCGTATGCAGCTCTTTTACACAGAAGAGTAAGTACAGTTGTTTTTTTTAGCAGTGTTGGACTAGATACTGGTTGCTGGGAGGAAACCCTTATTGCCACGCAGGACCAGTGCTATGAGCTAATAAAGACTTTGGAGTTCACAGGTAGGTGAAAAGGAAAGATGTTAAAAGTCACTTAGATTTCAGCTGTTTCTAAAAGGTGGGGCTCAAATAATAGGCATTTACGGAACATATTTCAGTAGTTCTAATGTAATTTATTAGTGATTTGATAAATGAGATTGGAAGGTATCTCTTAAAATAGAATAACTGGATTTTGCTTATAGTAAATCAAAGCTATTTATTTTTCATTGTAAGTATAACCTACCAGGTTTTCCCTAAAATGTTTGAAAAGGACAGCATTCTATTCAGGAATATGTTGCATGGTGAGAATGTGTCAGGGACATCAGCTCAAGTGATTCCACACAATGGCACATTCCATTTTCCATGGGAGAGGGAAGGTGACAAGGATGGTCAGGTGGAAAACATGGAAATGAAAGCATGTTACAATCAAAATGTTTTAGCACAAAATCATACTTTAAATTTTGTACCATTAGTCACTAAGAATAACTTTTTCTTGCAATAATGTACATAGATGTAAGAGGAAACCCTCTTCCTGATGCATGACAATCATGTGCTTCAACTTTACCATATGCACACATGTAGGGAACCATTTGCCAGTCATTTCTGGCTAATAAGCATGGTAAAAAAACCCATATCCACCAGAAGTGTGGCCTTCTGTTACACAGTAACAGAATCCATTGGCACAGTTCAACTGCTATGAGAGAAATTCAAGTAGGCTTAAGTTGCTTTTGACACCTCAGTGGCATCTGAATAATTGGCACCAACTAAATATGTGAAGCTAGTTTGTATATCAGAATGGCACATCACAGGAAGTGAGAGCTACTTCTACTTCATAGAAACAAACTATGCATGCCCTTTCATAGGTTGTTGCATGATGTGTAAACCTGGGCATTTTGTTTTTAAATCAGTGCTGTGTTTTTTAATCTGTAAACAACCCCAAGTGTCCAGGTTCACATGCCACAGAATAGCCTGCAAATAGGGTTTTTCAAACAGGAAATGGCTCTCACACCCAGCATGTCTCCTGAAAATTGTGTGTTAATTCATGATTTGCCACCATGAAGTACACACCAGGTTGCAAAGTACAGGATTTTTGCACTCCTTTTTCAAAGCTAAAATCTAATTAATTTGTTTCACAGTGATGGTATAACAATTTTTGAAAACCTCTTTGAAAGCTCAGACTGGTCAGTTTACTGTTTGTTCTAGGTAGACTGTTAGGACATCTTAAACCTAGAATTCTTAGATATGGTAGAGTAAGATTTTCTTAGGGAAAATTAGTATGTAAGAGTTTATTGTTGTAGCCATATATGTATAGTTACATAAAAACATGAGCAATTAAGTACTAAATACAAATAAAGTAATAAAATTCTAAGCATCTTATTGCAGTTATAGTTATAATGAAAACAATCCCAATTGTGTAAATAAATCGAAAGTACAGTATAGCAAGGTGTCTAACAAAATTAGTCAATACAATTCTCTTTCTGATTTTAAGGGTCAACAGAGTGAAAATGGCCACTTGGTAGCTAACATAAGGAAGTGCATCTGCCAGCAAGACATGAAAGCATTTCACTTCTGAGTTTGACCCAGTGTTGTACCTCTAACTGTGTCTTGAAGTGGGCAGTATAGGGCATAATTTTTAATTGCCAATGGCACCGTTCCACATGGACTTCATGGAATCTGTCTGCAGGATAAACTGAGGTTATAGATTGAAAATGCAGACTTAATGCTTATTTTAATGGTGCATCTTGTAATCAAGTAAATAATGTGAAACAAAATTGTTTTTCTTAAATAAGTGTATCACAAGGAGAATTTTAAATGCTGGATCCAGCCAGCATTGGGAGCCAGTCATGAAGCTTTTTTTGCCTCAGGTCTTTATATTCTCTGATGTGAGCAAAGTATCTGTTTGCAAAATTGAAAACAGCATATTTGCACACTGTTTCCCCATGTTCCCTCCCTGGTAGTGGTGCCAGTAACAGAACTAGGCTAAATGGTCTTCTGGAGGTCTCTCTAATTTCTTAAAATATTTTAGCAATGACAAATGAACTCTTACAGAAATTCTGTCTCCATCATTAACTGGGCAGCAGGGCTGCCCTGAGAGAGAGCCAAGATTTCCCTTGTTTTGAATTATTTGCAGCTGGGCAGGAGCTTTCTTATTTCAACTCCAAATTTCTAGCCCATTCAGAAGCTGAGTAGTCACTTTGCCCATAATATTTAAATGCAAATATAAATTGGCCTCCCTTTGAGAAGATAAACTTCACAAATCCCCCCACTTTACAATGTTAGATGTTAACGCTTTATTAAGGTGAATCTACCAAGAAAGAAATTTCCAGGATAAACACCCAAATATTTGAAGGAGAATTGTTCTGTTTGCCAAGCATAAATTGTCCATCTGTGCTTGGCTGTATTCCTACCAAAGAACATAACCTTTGCTTTATTGTAGTTATTTCTCAAGTTCTCTTTATCATAGTAATCAGTCAATCTAGTCAACATTTTTCTAGACCCCATCTAGGATATAAGTGCCATTTCATCAGAATACAGTAGGACAGAAATTCTATGCCCATAAAGCAAGGGAGAAAGAAACTCTATGACTTCATAACTTGGAATTTATCGTTAATACAAAATTAATTAAAAGGGGGTCCAAGGGTAGTTAGCGCCATGGCTGAGTGGGGACTGGAATCCAGAGCTCCTAGATCCCCAGTCCTACACTCTTAACAACTGTACCACACTCTCTCTATTTCAATCCTCTCAAGCTTTCCCATAGTATGGATCAATCAAGGTAATAAGATTGGTAAAGTCCATCAAATGCAACATAATATTTTCCATGTCCATGTATACTTCTGAATCAAGCCTTTTAAGATATTACAATGTTAATGCAAAGTCAGTAATGCTTCTGTGAAAGAATAGGACATCTTCTGTGAAAGAACATCTATTTTCATTAATCTTTCTGAATTCTTTGGTAAATGGGTGATCTAGAAAATATTGTCCAGAATCCAAAGACGTATGCACAAGGAATTTATCTTCCCTGTATTTGGGAATTGAGTGTTTTATCCTTTGGTATAGGATCTGTTGAAGGAGGAAGGAGAATGAAAAATTCTATTGGACATATGCAAAAATTGTATTGGGCATATAAACTCTTTTATATTTCTGACTGTCATAGGTATGTTCTCTTTTGAACCTGGTACTACTGCCTACCACACTTCTGTGTACTCAGCCCATTCTTTTACTTTTGTTAAGCCTCCCAAAGTTTCCCATTTCAGGAAGCCTTTGGATCATCCACCAGAGCAGAAGATGGTAACCTCTGTCCTATAGAGGTTTTCATCTGGTCTGCAGAGCTCATTTCTTTAAACACAAACAGGTGCTTCTAACTACTATTACTCCTTAGATCCAACAAGAGGCTTGTACTCAAAACAATGCTAAAAATGAAAAGATATCGTGAATAGAAAGCTGCAGGAGCATATTTATTAATGGGAAGTCCAAGAGGTCAATCCTACTTCCATTCCTTTTTCCATGCAACCATTGCAAATAGTATAGAAAAACTTTTCTTTTTAAAATTATGATGAAGCTAACAAAAGTCATTAGTTGCAAAATATCACCATCCCTCCATCCAGAGGTGAGTAGGTAAATTTTATAAGTGATGTCTGAAGTAGTAAAGGATGTTACCAATAGGCAGAGCTGTTCTAGCAGATGTGATACTGTGCAGACAGAACCATTGATGCAGTGCTGCCTAATAATGCTGTGGTTTACAGCAGTTCATAAAATACAATATAAAATGCAGATAACAATAAAAATGTCTTAAAATTTAACCAAAACATTTAAGAACCAAATTTAAACTATTTAAACAACTAAAACAAACAACACGACATATTGGCCAGCATAATGCTCCCATAATCCGTTTAAATATGTTAAATGCCGTAGCATGTGTTATGTTTCATGTTTATTATTTCGTGGAGTTGTATCCATTAAAATAAGTTAATTGCAAATGTTAAACTTTATCAAGGGGCTATGGGCTGACCTGGAAATTACAGTCAACACCAACAGTTGGTGTAACAGGGTTGAGTGGGTAGCTGGTCTCAAGCTATAGACTATGTATTCCTATTCAGCCAGTGAATTTAGCAACCCTGGGGCATGGACTGACTATCAAGTTTTCAGGGAGGTACAGATGCTGCAGTGCCCTGTGAAGAAATCTGGAAAGGCTACCAGTGAAGCAAGGATGGGTGTGAGACCTCTGAATATGTGTTATGGGGAGAAATAAGGGAGTTGGTTAGAAACTGATACCTTTATTTACTTGACTGTGCATCTTCCTAAGGGTTAATAAAGACAGGGATGCAGGCCAACAACTGGGGTTGAGAATGGGAGCAAGTTCCAGTCCAGGCTTCAGGGGTTTCAGTATTATTTTCAGCAAGGTGCTGACACTTTTGGAATAGCGGAGCATTCTGTGTCATTATTACTCCATGTTGTGAACTACTGTTTGCATTTCACTGACAGATTACTGTAGTTTCCCCAGCTAATAATGAGTTGTCTTAAACTAGGAAATTATTTTGAACAACGTTGGTGAAAATGTCCACTCCTGATCCTCCAATGGGAGGGACACCTCGTCCTGGGCCTTCTCCTGGGCCGGGGCCATCTCCTGGTGCTATGCTGGGCCCCAGTCCTGGACCATCCCCTGGTTCCGCACATAGCATGATGGGCCCCAGCCCTGGGCCACCGTCAGCAGGGCACCCTATGCCACCACAAGGGCCTGGAGGTTATTCTCAGGACAACTTGCATCAGATGCATAAGGTAATAAATCATGAAGTTATTTAATCTGTATATATGTTAATGAGACCTGTTTACTTTGCCTGTGTAAGAAATGAAAAAAAGAATTAGTGTTGGATGTCCCCTTTTTCATTATTTACTCCCCACCCCCCCAAACACACACAGTTTCCTTTTTTTCATTCATTCATTCATTCATTCATTCATTTCTTTACTGTCCCATAGGTGAAGCTCTCTGGGCAGTCAAGAACAATTATAAAACAAAACAACAAAATACATCACAAATGCCATAAAACGAAACAATCTTAAAATTATTTAAAAATAGCTAGAACACATACATTTAAAATACCCTGCAATGAAAAGATAATACCTTCAGATCCCTGGGTAACCACGGAGATCTCCACATAAAGGACTGTCTTGATCTGGCACCAGAAAGATGGCAAGCTTGGTGCCAAGTGGGTTGCAGCAAAGTGGTTGTTCTAAAGATGGGGGACTACCACAGAGAAGGCCCTCCTGCCTTGTTGCCAGACTCTGAACCTCCTGTGGGGTTGGCAGTCAGAGGTTGAGTGTAGTGTCTGAGTACAGAGCAGTTGTGGGAGGTGCCCTAATAGGTGTTGTGGTCTCAAGCCATGTAACGCTTTATAAGTTAAAACCAGCACCTTGCATTGGGCCCAGAAGCATGCAGGCAGGGCAGAACTAGTCTTACGTGTTCAGACTTAAGGTTAGTCCAGTTACTAACCTGGCTGCTGCATTCTACATGGGCTGCAGCTTCTGAACTGTCTTCAAGGGCAACCCCATGTAGCATGCATTGCAGTAATTAATTTAGAGATTACCAGAACATAGACTACTGAAGCCAAACTATCCTTGTCCGGATAGGGGCATAGCTGGGCCACCAGCCATAGCTGGTAGAAAGCACTCCATGCCACTGAGGCCATCTGAGCTTCAAGTGCTAAAGATGGATTGAGGAGAATTCTCAAGATACAAACCTGTTCCTTCAAATGGAACAGGTTGAACACCATCTGGTCAAAGGAACTACCCACCAACTGCATCTCAGTCTTGTCTGGACTGAGCTTCTATTGCTGGCCTTCATCCAGTCCATTGTCAAAGCCAGTATAGCACATCTACAGCCTCACCTGCTGAAGACGAAAAGGAGCAATACAGTTACATGTATTCAGCATACTGATGGCAGTGCACTCCAGCATGCCATGGAACTCACTCAGTGGTTTCATATAAAGGTTAAATAGCATGGGGGACAGAACAGACCTCTGAGAAACTCCATGCTGGAGAGTCCATGAAGCTGAACAGTATTCCTCAAGTGCCACCTTCTGGAAACAGCCCTCCAAGTAAGAGCTGCACCACTGGAATCCCAGCTCAGAGACTCATCCCAGGAGGAGACTATGGTTGATGCTATCAAAAACCACTGAGAGGTCCAGGATTCCCAACCAGGTCACACTCCCCCTGTCTCTCTCCTGGCATATGCCATCATACAGATTGACCAAGGCTGTTTCTGTGCTAAAACCAGGCCTGAAACCTGACTGAAAGGGATTCTAGGTAATCAGTCTCATCCAAGAGTGTCTGTGGTTATCCACCCTCTCCAGAACCTTTCCTGGGAAAGAAATGTTTGCTAAAGTTATTAAAAGTCTTCCAGGTTAAGGGAGGACTTTTTTTCTTTCAGGAGGCATGGGACCACTCCCTCTTGCAAGGAGGTATTAATCAGCTCCCTGGCTCAGTTCATTTTCCTTCCTAAATTGCAGCAGAACTCAGACAATTCTAAGATGTCTTTGAGGCCAGCATGTTATAAGCCTCTAAAAACAACTCCGAAAAGCTCCACTGGGTGGCAAAGGGAGGAATGAGTAGAGGCAGAGAGATATTGTTTCTTTGCTGTCCTCATTGCCTCCAGGAACCCAATTATAAGTGCATACCTGTGTTCAATTGCATTCACTGGGAGTCTTTCTCTGTATCACTCAAGGCATTTCCTAAGCTGTTTCATTGCTCCTGGCTCTGGGGTATACCATAGAGCCATCTGAGCTGTGCAACAGAGAAGGCTAATGAAATGCAGTTCATCAGAACTTTTTCTTAGCCTTATGTTTCAGTATGGAATGTAGAAGATTTATTTGTTAAGGGGGTTTCTTCCCATTGGTCCATTACTTCTAGGAGTTCAGTCATTTATCTTTATGATTTTTATCCAGTTCCTATGATTTCAGAGCTCTATTTCTAAGTAGTGCTTAGACTTTCTCTTTTCCCAATTATGTTAACTGCTAATATTTCTTCCCTTTTGAGATGTTTTATCTTGCTGTGTGGAATTGTTTTTGGACAAATCCATACAGTTTTGTCTATTAATCTGTCTTTAAAAAAAGAAAGAAAATTGAAATTATCAATGTTGGTGAGCCACACTTAATAATCTAAGTTGTGTTCATTCGCAATAAAACATCCTTCTTTGGTCATTACTTCCTTTCCACCTGGAAAAGTTCCTGCAGTTAGTAATGTGTTAAGCTTGTATTTGTTCGCTGCATACACTTGTATCTTAGGAGAGTAATGTTCAGTGTTGGAGGAGTAGCACAAATAATCACACAGTTAACAGAAAAACTATTTTTCCCAACATTCTAAATACTTTAACAAGTTGCTAGGTAGACAGTAAACTTTTTAAGTTGCAAATTATATCTGAATACCGTCGAGATGGGTATTCAGATGTAAGGTAAAAATATACTTACAAAAACAGAATTGAACCATGTCTTGAATGGAAAGGGGTAGGAAAATTGTTTTTGGTATAAATGTGACTAAAATGGGATTTTAAAGTTCAGTGAAATGTATATAGCACTTCTTAATTGCATGTTACTGAGAATGTAATCCAAACAATCTGAGAGTTATGCTATATAGATAATATTTTGCTAAATAGTGTTCGCTACTAGCTTGACTTTGGTCTAAAATTTATTTTTCCTTATGAATGGTTACTGGTTCTTAAGTAAATGCTTTCACTGATGGTGATATATTCTTTGATAATACCTTTCGTGACTGAATTGATAGTAACTTGGTCAGACAAACAGAAATAATAACAGTGCAATCCTTTGTATGTGTAACTCAAAAGTGCCATTGAAAATGAATATGGCAGTACAGCCTGGTTCCTCTGGATGTCTGACCTGTTTTGAACATGCTTATATGTGTATTTCTTAAATAGCTTGTGCTCGTTCATCTCTTTGAATGGATTTTAGATATTTGACTTTATGTTCTCACTGTAGCCAATGGATTCCATGCATGAGAAGGGACTCTCTGAGGATCCTCGTTACAGCCAAATGAAAGGCATGGGAATGAGGGCTGGTGGGCACACAGGAATGGGGCCTCCTCCAAGCCCAATGGATCAGCATTCTCAAGGTACTTCTTTCTTCAGGGTAACTGTGGAGAAGATTGCAAGTTGTCTCTGTAGTCTTGATAACTGAATTAGCAATAGAACTGTAAGAGAAGCAAATAGTGGTCACAATGTGTAGACATCTTTTGATTTGATCTTTGCTTAAGAAGGAATGCAGTTAAGACTTAGGTTAATGCTATCGCTGATGTGTGGTACCATCTTGATGAGGTAAAACTATGGGGTCATATCTGTTTTAGCAAGGCAAAAGTTGCTGTATTTTGAAAAAGCATACATTTGTAGTTTTAAGTTGATGAGATTAAAGATGCAGTACATGGCATAGCCTTCTTTGCTATGCAGGAAGAAGATGGGGAAGAATATTGTATAAGCATAACATTTAACTTGAGTCCATTGGAATTCATTCATGCAAGTCTGTATCATCAATTAGTGTTATGTGCAAATGTGAGCAATAGTAAGGCAGAGTTCTCTGCAAACCTTTTCTCTCAATTTCATATTTGGCAAGTTTATGTTCTTACTTCCTAGTAAATTGTAATGGCACAATTACTCTTGGTTTAGACTGCTTATTAAAAATGCACAGATGTAGTGTTTACCAAAATACAAGCACATGTTTAAGTGAAACTCAATTTTATTGTTGATTTTTGATAGTGTATAGGAAATTGATCTTTCTTTCTTCATTTCACCTCTTCCAGGTTACCCTTCTCCACTTGGTGGTTCTGAGCATGCATCAAGTCCAGTTCCAGCTAATGGTCCTTCTTCTGGACCCCAGATGCCATCTGGTCCTGGTGGAGTTCCATTAGATGGTACTGACCCACAAGCACTAGGACAGCAGAATCGGGGCCCAACTCCTTTTAACCAGAATCAGCTGCATCAGTTGAGGGCTCAAATCATGGCTTACAAGATGCTTGCCAGAGGCCAACCTTTACCTGATCATGTTCACATGGCAGTACAGGGAAAAAGGCCAATGCCTGGAATGCAGCAGCAAATGCCAACACTACCTCCACCTACTGTATCTGGAACAGGACCAGTGCAAGGACCAGGGCCTGCCCCTGGACCAACACCTCCAAACTACAACAGACCTCATGGTAAGTATAAGTTGAACCACATATTTGGGTGGTATGCTTCAGTGCAACCCATTTCTGTGACAATGATACCTCCTTCTTTCTCAAGAAGTGAAGTGTGCTTTGTAGAGCAAGAATCCTTAATCTATGTGTATGTGTCTGTTCAATGTATGCATAGGTATGGGAGGGCCTAACATGCCCCCTCCTGGACCCTCAGGAGTTCCTCCAGGAATGCCTGGGCAACCCCCTGGTGGACCCCCAAAGCCCTGGCCTGAAGGTAAGACTTGCCGTGGGGGTTCCATGAAGTGTGGTATGTCTGATTTACATATTGAGTACAATTTGCATGAGCAGCAGAGTCCAGTGACACCTGAAAGACTAATAAGACTGTTCATTGGTTTTTGCCTCAGCAGATTAACATGGCCACCTGCCTTAGAAACTAAAAATCTTGGGATTGGGTGCCAGATCCTTTTACCTTAGTGATACCAATTTAGGTCTTTCTGCTAGAAAATTAAAGTAGCAATTTTTAAGATGTCTGGATGATAGTGTTTTCAAATACTGAAAACTATCTGAAAACTGCCATAATTTCTAATGCAGTTTCTGTACACAAATTGTGTTTGGGTTTGCTTGTTTTCTCTTTAGTTGCACTTTCAAAGACTTAAGTGCTTGGTCAAATCATCCTCAAGTTGGCTTACAATAAACTATAATTTCATAATTATTATTATGTGTGCATGTGCATAGCCACTGTTCCACAGCAGATGGTACAGGCCAGACAGTGTTTCTCTTCAACGTGGAAGTTCTCAGGAAAGTGTTAGCTGGGAGAGCATGGTCTTTTCAGGATTCAGCTGCACTAGTTGAAGACCAGTGTTTTAAATAAAATGGAATAGATTTGAAGTTCATGCAAGTTCATGTTGAAACCTTGACAAGGATTTATTTTGTGTTGTTTCCTTCTGCCCTTCTTGCATAAAGTTAAGTTTTCAAATTAGTTTGCAGAACTGTAAAGTTGAAAAAGAATGCCCTTTGAATATTTCATGTCCAGAATTACTATACCTTTGACAGAATTCAGTTGGCACGTGTGTATGCTTGCTTTCATACACATGTGCAGGTTAGGCGAACACAATTCCAGTGTGGAAGACAGTGTATGGGGAGTGTAATCAACACATGCTCTCCTTCCCATTTACATCGGGCACTTCCCCACCAACTGATTGCCACTGAGAACTTGAACCATTATCTGGGCAGCAGGGCTGGAGGAAGCATGATAAAATTTCAGTACCTGCAGAGGAGAGAAACTGATGTATGTTTGCATGCATGTGTGTGTATGAATGGGAATGAGCACACTGTAGATGACCTATCAGTTGTACTGTTTGCCAAGAATCTGTTACTCTCTAACTGTAGTTAGAAAGTAACAGACATTATTTGACATTACTACAGTTTATTATTTATTTATTAAATTTGTTTAAAGGGAGCCTATTAGCATCATGCTCTTTGTCAGCTGCTTGGCAAAAGTTGTGGTCAATAGCAGGAATCAATTTGTTTTTCACTTATGAAATGCAGAAGTTGAGATTTAGTTGTTAAGATGCATTTCTCTTGGTGAAACTTTATTAAGGCCTCTGCCCAGGGTGAAATCCTAATACACTGCAATGTGAGTCATTGGCAAGTATGGGCTAGCAATAGTAGATAGGGTGTGTTCACATGTCACACTAAGCCATCCTACAAATAAGTTGCACAGCATGGTTCCTTGGAGAACATTCCACAGTGATTCCAAGAGACTATAAGGCTTACCATGGGGTCATTATCCCCTTGCCCTCAGTCTACCAATTGGTATCCCAGTGTATGATTGCTATTCTTTTCCATTTGCTGCACTTTTTCACCCCTGGAGTCCCAAAATAGTGCAATTGGGATATTCTTCTTCTTTGTGGTCTTTGTGTATTACACATACGGGCTCTGTGCTTGTGCAGTGCCTGCTATCAGGAAGATTTTCCTAGCTGAGCTCATTTTGGCGGGAGCCCCTCCCCTCCCTCCCCCCAGTATATATAAGAGGAGCTCCTTCCATTTTCCCCACTTCTTTTCCATATTAATATTATTGTTGCTGTTATTGGATTGGTGTTTCTAAAGTGTGCAGGGGTGCACTTGCAGCTGTCTGGTATGTGCAGTCTTGCCTGATAATTTCCTTGTCTGCTTCAGTGATGGTTACCCCAAAGGTGAAACTGGTCTACTGGGTCTGCATAACACAAGAGCCCCTTGTGAGTTCAACAGCCACTAGAAGAAGCCATAGGTTGTCAGAGCAGCCTCTTGCTGGGAAAAAAAGTTACTTTGGTCTTGGAACAACTTGACAGTCCACCATGACTAGTTATCCACAATGGGTTGTCATGTTATACAAATCTAGTTAGAATGACAGATGTAGATTAGAGGGACCAAACCGTGACACAATGGTCTATTGTTGACCTTAGGATCAGGCACAGCTTCTCAGCTTAATTTTATAGTGCGAATGTAAGGATGAAATGAAGTGGGGTGGGCTGGGGGGTTGCAGGTGAAAACCAGCATATGCTGACCTGAGCAATTTGGAGGAAGACTGAACTGACTTAAAATATATTAAGCATAAAATAAATGTATTCAGGCATCTAAACACAGAAACATCTTTGAACATTCCACTATTTTTATTTGTATGTACCATGATCACACTCATACCAATTTTCTTCCTAATACTGTTTGTAAATAGGACCAATGGCAAATGCTGCAGCCCCCACTAGCACACCTCAGAAACTGATCCCTCCTCAGCCAACAGGCCGTCCTTCACCAGCACCTCCAGCTGTACCTCCAGCAGCTTCCCCTGTAATGCCTCCCCAAACCCAATCACCTGGGCAACCAGCCCAACCTACCCCAATGGTGCAGCTCCATCAGAAGCAGAATCGCATTACTCCAATCCAGAAACCAAGAGGACTTGATCCAGTTGAAATTCTTCAGGAGAGAGAATACCGGTAGTGTGGCTCTTAAATTGCATATTCTATTTTACCTCTTAGCTGGTACTCTGCTGGTAACAAGTTGACTCCTTACTGACAACTGAATTCAGTTGAGTGACTTTTTGGGCCTGTTGGTGGCACTGCTAGTCTTTGGACTACGTGGCCTGTCATACTACAACCAGCCTTTATTTTACCTAATGAAGGCATTTATAGCTTTGGCAGTATAATAAATATTGCCATTGCAGATGGGTAGATTCAGTCTGGCTGTCTGGGGCTGATGGAAATTACAGCCCAAAAACTTCTGGAGGGCATCATGTTGGGGAAGTCTCCCTGAGAGGAACACTAATGTGTTTCATATCCCTTGTTTAGATAGAGTGGTGCTTGGAAACTCATTAGTCTTAATATCTGTATACAGACTACAGGCTCGCATTGCCCACAGAATCCAAGAACTTGAAAACCTTCCTGGGTCCCTGGCTGGTGACCTGCGAACCAAAGCTACTATTGAACTGAAAGCACTACGATTGCTTAATTTCCAGAGGCAGGTAAGGTTGTGCCATTGCTGGAACTCCATCGCACAGGAGTGTTTTAGGAATTGGAATTCAATGTGGAAATCAGAATTAAAACCACAAGGTTTTGTAACTTAATGTAAATGTAAGGGAATTATAATTTCTTTTTACCAGCTTCATTTAAACACATTCTGTAGTTTAAAATGTGGAAACCACCTCTAGACCTGCCCAAGTTAAGACATTTTCCGGAAAAGTTTTTGTTTACCTGTGCATCTCAGTCTTGGGTTAAATGACTTGCCAGAATTGCCAATACTGTTCTGTATCAGCATGAAAAGATTACTTTGGTGTGTCAACAATGCAGTTAAGTAATAATGAAATTACATCATGTCAGTATTGCCATTATGTGATGCTGAGAATGGTTGAGGTTTTAGAGCTGGGTGGACTTGTGATGTTCTTAGAACTTCAAGGTCAAAATAGGTGTGGGCCATTGATGCTCCCTTTTCACTTGTGGCCTATTTTGTTTGCCTGAGTCTAAAATAGTTTGCTCTCCAAACCATTTGTGTGTCTTGTGTGGCCTGAATTGAGTAGACAGCAGTATAGATGGATGTTTGGTCTCACACTGAGGCAAATAGAAGCGGAGAGTCTTTTAGACCATTGCAGGTCTCTAGGAATGTGTGCAAACATTTAGATTATCTGGCACCAAAACCAAAAGAGGGAGCAATTAGGCATGGTGACTAGCTTGAGGTTGCTGAAGGGGTCATAAGTAGCCTTTGTATGAGTTTGTAGGACTTGGCAGCATCCTCCACCCACTACCCTTCCTGGACACTTTTCCAGCTTCCTTTTTGAGCTTAGCTCTCTCAAGCCCATCATATGTCCAGTACAGCTTATTTAATCTTTTCTCATGCTGAGATAGATTTGATTAACAGCAGAGACAGGATTTTGGTCACACTGTCCCCCCCCCCAATAGTTCTTCTATTCACCTATGACCTATCATCAACTGCTCCTACAGAAGGTCCAGATTTTTCTGGACAGCTTGCAATAAGTGCAAAATCAGTTTAGATCTAAAATGAAACCGAAACCTGCATAATCAGAAGCAGCATAAACTATAATGAATTGGCAGCTTGGTTTCTCGGGCCCGTTCTCAGGTGGCTAACTTGGGCTGGTGCTTTTGGCCAAGTTCTTGGGGTTCAGGAGATATTTTTATTTATCTGTTTGTTTATTTATTTGACTTTTATCCCACCCCATTAGCAATAAGGCTTGCTAACATGTGACCTATTTGTGGGGGCTTTCAGCCGGACCATATTGGCATTTTCTTTGCTGAAAGAGATTGGATACTCCAAATGTACATAAATACACCTTAAAGTATAGGCATCAGAAGTAAGTGGCACATACATTGCTAAGTGATTTTCCTTGCCTTCTATTCCTTTTGCTTCAAAGTAACTGTTACCGGTGTTCACCTTCCAAACCAACAGGGGAGCAGGCACATATTGAGAATGTTTGGTTGTGCCAGACATGCTACATTTACTGGTTCACTTTCTCTTTTCAACTTGCAGCCATAAGTTGAATGTTTCTTTTTAATTTTTTGCCCAAAAGCTGCGTCAAGAAGTTGTGGTGTGCATGAGAAGAGATACTGCTCTGGAAACAGCACTGAATGCTAAGGCATATAAACGTAGCAAGCGGCAGTCCCTACGGGAAGCTCGCATCACTGAGAAGCTGGAGAAGCAACAGAAGATTGAACAAGAACGGAAACGCCGACAAAAGCATCAGGTATGTTATTCTTCTGTTGTTACTTGAATGTGGCTTGCAATTATGATTTTTTGTTTTTGTGGTGGGGGGGAGGGTGGGACAGCAGGAAATGTACAATTGAAATAGAGTTGTTTTCTTTCTTGGTCCTCTCTTGCACATTAACATTTATGGCTGCCCAAAATGTGGAGACTTGCTTGGTCAATGTCAAATTGCAGTATGCTGCATCCACAGACATGAGCATATTAGGTGGCATATAGATTTCTTTGTACATACTTGACAGCTTTTAATAAGCCAGCTATCAAGAAGCAAAATAGTAGTGAGATTTTTCTCCTGAAAGATGATGACTGTTCTCAGGGTCCTCTACTTTTTCTGTCCTTCTCCAAGCTTCTTAAATACTCCAGAAGTACATCCCACACCCTTTTCATGAGGATGCGCTTTTAATAGCTATCAAACAAAAGGGATATTTTAAAGAAAAAATCTTACCTAGCACATATGAGCATCTTGTTGGGCAGGGAAATGTATAGCAGTGAAATCTGCATGTCTTTCCCTGTCCAAAAAGGTAATAAACAATCTGCAACTCTTCCAGAACATTTGCAATGCTTAAGAATGTCACTGGGTCCTAGACACAATGAATTGCACAATCTTGCACAGAGAGATCTTGCACAATTCTGATACTGCGGTTGTAACATTTTTCATCTGAAGAGTTTTTGTGGTACAAAATAATAAGCTCAATGTGTTCATTCATGTATCCATTTTCTTTCACTTTTGTATTTAGGAGTACCTCAATAGCATTCTCCAGCATGCTAAGGATTTCAAAGAATACCACCGATCTGTCACAGGCAAGATTCAAAAACTTACAAAGGCTGTGGCCACCTATCATGCCAATACTGAGCGTGAGCAGAAGAAGGAGAATGAGAGAATTGAGAAGGAGAGAATGCGCAGGTTGATGGTAAGATTTTCCTGGAGGTTAGAAAATTCCTGAAATCTCCACGACTGTGTAGGCTGCAGTTTATGTTTTGTTTAAAATCACTCTTGTTTCCAGCTTTTAGAAATTAAATGTTTTATGTGTGTATGTGTTTTAAGGCTGAAGATGAAGAAGGATACCGTAAGCTTATTGATCAAAAGAAAGATAAACGCTTAGCGTACCTGCTTCAGCAAACAGATGAATACGTGGCCAACCTCACAGAGCTGGTGAGACAGCACAAAGCTGCACAAGTTGCAAAAGAGAAGAAAAAAAAGAAGAAAAAGAAGGTAATCCTAAGTTACTTTAGTATGCCATGATTCAGCAGAGGACCAGCATGATTCTGAGGAAAGACCATACAGCAGAAGTTGTGCAGGGCAGGAATTCCTGAGATTCTCTGTTAGTTGAGATAGGTGGAAAGCGATTTGACTGGTATTCCAAGCATGAGGAGACGGACTTGTGTAGTCTGACATAACTACCACAGGGCCTAAGTTTTGAGAGTACTGTCAACTGAATATGTCATCGTAGTACTTTCAGTCAACCCAAACTTGTTCTCCCTCCAAGCTGGGAGTAGGCAGTTGGAATGGCAGCTGTGTAGCTTTCAACGTACTGATGCTGTATTGCCTTTTTCCTGGTGGCACTGATGAGGATCTTTCAAGGGGAGTAGCATTTTGGTGTATGGGTATTCCATGAAAACTCTGCGCAGACTCCAGTTTCCATAGCTGGATTTGTTTGCATCCCCAGGCATGTTTAAAAATCGTGTGCTGGCCAGGCTGCCAAGCACACAGGCTCAGGGCTTCAAAGAATTCTCCATCCAGTGGTTGCAGATCCTACCAACACCTCCCCCTGCCCCCACATACAAACGTTCCAAAGAATACTTGGTAAGGTACAGTTGAAAAAAGCTCTGGTGATACCTTTTTTGCTTTAGAGGAAATTGGTTGTCTGATTTGCTTTAGCTTTCTATTAGATTATTACAGACCAGTTTGCCCCACTTGAGTAGGGATCCTCATAGTTGTCCCTTATAGCCTGTTGGTGACTCTCTTGAAAAGGAGAATAAGTTACCTTTTCAAGAATTCCCAGGGTAGAGTCAATAATGAATCGAACTGGAAAGTTTGCATAAGTTTGCAAAGAGGCAAAGAACTCTGAGATGGATGGCAAGGAGGGCTTGACACTTCTACAGATTGCAACTTGGAGAGCTTTTGTGTACCATATTCAAGCTTCAGTCTGGATGGTTTTGAGGGGAGTAGTTGCTTTTGTCCAGGCCCTCCCTCTGGTCCAGACATAGCACCTTCTCTGGCAAATAGGCAACAATCTTTAACTTAACTGCAAATCTTCATTTCAGTGATAAAAGTCTGGTGGAGGGAGGTTTTATATCTTGTTCCTGCCAACCTTGTGTGTGATTTATTGTTTATTTACTGAATTCTTATAGCTGTCCAATGACATGTCCTGGGGTAGATCACAAAACAAATACAATTGAAGTATAGTATAAAATAGTAACAGGTATTAAAAATATAATTTCAACACAGATAGAGGAGAAGCAAGCAAGGAGGATGCCAAACCCTTTCACTGTCTACAATTATTCTTCTGTCTACCATTATTCCCCTTCCACAACTTTACTTCTACTTGAGGTTCCCAGTTATATTTCTGGGCGAATAGAAAGGGGAAAAAAGTTAATCATGTCTATTACCCTGTTTGGTGTTTCCCAGCTGAAACTACTCTGGCTCCTGCCCCTGCCTTGCATGTTGATAGCAAATGAGTGACTGGAAATCTATGTTTTATGGGCAAATATTTTAGGTCTATCACCAGTCTGGCTCATGTTCAGCTTCCGTGGGGTTTTATATGGTTTTACAGTGGTACCTCGGCTCACGAACACCTCAGTTCACGACCAAATTGGGTCGCAAACAAAAATTTCATTAAAAATTTGATTTAGGTCACGAACTCCGCATTGGGTGGCGGCCACAATTGTGGCCATCTCCCCACCCCCACCCCCCAAGTGGGGAGATGGCCACGATCATGCGGGGGGGGGGGGGAGATGGCTGAGATTGCACCTGTCTTTCCTGCAGGAGCGTGCCTGTCTTTCCTGCACAAACGTAAATGCGATCTTGGCTGTCCCCCCGACCCCCAGCATGATCACATCTGTCTCCCCACTGAGCGCGCCTGTGTTCACGCCCGTCTCCCCCCCACCAAGCACACTGGGATGATGGGCTCATGCAGGGATGACGGGTGCGAGGAGATGGCCGTGTTCGTGCTTGGAGGGGGGGCGGGGGAGGTGGCCACAATCTTTGTTGTTCTTTGTCACTTTGCTTCACATTTTTCTGATAAAAAAAAAATAGTTACAGAATGGATTAACCTTATTTATATTGAACCTTATGGGGAAATTTAACTTGGTTCACGACCAATTTGGGTCACGACCGGAGTCCTGGAATGGATTAAGTTTGTGAGCCAAGGTACCACTGTATATGGAGGGAAGGGATCATCCTGTAGCTTGGAGTAATATGAATAATGAGAGATTGATCTAGGAAAATCTATTAAACATTTTTCTTTCTCAGATTTGGGCAGTGATTGCATTTTTTCTCCTATATTACTCACAGTTACTAGAATTGTTCTTTCTCCTTCTCTCATCCCCCAGTGGAAGCAGACTGTGAAACTGGATGGGAATACTTCCAACTGGAAGAAATAGTTCAAATACTTCTTGTCCTGTCCTAAGACAGTGTCATTTTGCTGTTAGAATGAACACTTGCATAAAGTTCAGCAGTATGAATATTTGCTGAGCTCTTGGCAGTGAAAAAGTACTCAATACATTTCATCAGCACACTGTTTTGAAATACTTCTCAATGACAGTGTTAATATTTTTCCTTTGTTTCCAGAAGGCTGAGACTGCAGAAGGGCAGACACCAGCTATTGGACCAGATGGTGAAGTAAGAACTAAAAAGAATTTGTGGCTCCAAATTGCACAGATTTTATTTTACCATGAAATATTGTTTTAACATCTTGTAGGAGAAAATAGGTTCTTATTTGGACTAGCAATTATAATGTATACCTTATTGAAATGTGAGTACAGCTGGTTTTGAATGCTTTTGCAGTAGATGGTCATGGATGTGTTGTGGGGGGTCACTGTGGGAAGCACCTTGGACCTCCCCTGCAGGTTCTTTGATGACCTTGCATGGCTTTGTGGGCACAATTCTGAACAGTGACCCATGTCCATGAACTTGTAGAGCTCTGAAGAAGGAATGAGCAGCTTTTAGCCCCTCAGAGTTTAAGCATACAGCTGGCAGCATCCATCACCATTGGCTATGTTGAGTAAGGCTGATGCGAGTCATATATATTTCATCAAAAATATGACAGGAAAAAGTTTTCTTATCAGCAAAATGAGTCAGTGTGTTCTTTTGGGGCAGGGCAGGTTGCAATACAGGTAGTCCCCAGGTTACATCTTTACAAACATGCAGACTGCCATAAGCCCTGCATGAATATCTCTAATGAAAAGCCTTGAATATCTCTAGACAAAATATCTCTAGGTAACTACATGGCATGTTTGGTGACATGTCATCAGTGTCCACTTAGTTCCCTAGAGGTATTCACAGCTTTTTGTAGAGATAGAGATTCCCTACAGATAGTCATGGTGAGCATATGCAAGCCAGTGTGTTTCATTGCACATGTAGAGCCTCAAAAATAAAACAAAACCATGGCAAAACAGTTTCTGGGAAGAGCAGAAGCAGGGATGCCCAGATGACTTCTCTCTACTCTGTTGTTGTTTTAAAGCTTGAAATCTTGTATTTATTAATTACTTTCTAATCCATTAGGTAACATTAAGCCTAACATTAACTAATGATGATGGAGCTGATTCTGGAGAATCAGGGTTTGATAGTGCTGCTTGCGGGAGGTTAGCACTGGAGCTGCTTTCATGAAGTAAGCCTCAAGGCTTTCTTGTGCAGCCATTTTCTTTTTCTCATCATAAATAGCGTTGTAGCAGCTGAGGGCCTGTTTACAAGGGCAAATGCTAAAGGGGAACTAGATCAGTATTAGCATGTCCATACTGCAGTTGGAGAAATGATGCTGAATTGACAGCCGAAAGAGAGAGTGAACCAAAACCTGTCTGTGTAGAATTTGGCATACTTGATCCCCCCCAAAAGTGGCCAACAAGCCTGCAAATATTACCCAATTCTATAAAAAGAAAGAATATTCTAATTACTTTCTTTGCTTTGTTTTAGGTTTGGGTTTGTTTGGAACTATGACATTTTATTATTATGGTTTATTCTAAATTAGCAGAGCAACTCAGAAATATATTCCAAAAATGAACAAACAAAAAGACAACATAAAGTATTTTGAAGTGCTCAAAATGCTTCATATTCATGATCTTGTTATAATCTACGCAAGAATGATAGTGAGCTAGTTTAACTTTATAAGACACTGATTTGAAAGAATGGTCTAAACTGTTTTAAGAACTATTTCTTTTATTTCTTTTTACACTACTGTATAACCTACACACATACACACAAATTATATCTCTCTCTCTGTTGTCAGTACCTGTAATTATGTTATTATTATGGTATAATTATCATTATTACAGTGGTGTATTGTGTTTAAAGTGAATATGGAAGTGTTTCTTAAGTGTTTTAGATGCATAGGAAAGTAAAATATATACATAAACTGAGGCAAACATTTGATTTACTCATGTGATCCAACTCACATACAAATCTGACTTAAGGACGTTCTCAGGAACAGAACTCCTCCATAGCCTGGGGACTATCTCTGTGGAGAGGAGGCTTCAGCTCCTTTTGGTGGACTTAACTCCTCAGCAGGAAGTGCAACTGCCCTTCTCCTGCCTGCTGCCTCTGCTCTCTTCCTGGGCGTTTCCAGAGAGAATAACAGCACCGGGCTGGGGGCCAGACATGTCAAAAATGCATTTTTCTAAACTGTAGTCTTGATAAATTTGAATAACAGCACAGCTTTGTGTAAATAAATAGTGGTTGAAGTAAAGGAATTCAATGCATCACTGAGAGAAGTACAGATGAGAACACTGGGGGAAGGTTACAGCTCTCCCCCCGCATCATGTCTTATTTGTCTGTCAAAGTTGGCTCTTGAGACTTGACTCGAGACATGGAGTAAAGGACATTACTGTGATAGCCTGATCTAGGTGGCAGACCCTTCTCATTGATCCCATCCCTGCCTTCTAATATCTTTGTTGTCAATATTTTTCAGCAAAATTTGGACAAGGGATGAATTCTCTCTCTCCCACCAAACCTAGTATGGAACTTTCCAAGGGCAATTTTGTAGAACAGAATTTGAAGGTATCTGTGGAGTCTTACTCACTATTACTAATTTGATCAGATATGCAGAGGGATTACATTAGAAAAGAAGAGAGCCTCACACAAGAATAATTGGTACTCTGTATTGCAGCAGAAACAGACTTCTGAATGTCTGTTAAACATATTTTAATATAACAATTGTGACTCAAGGAATCCCCATCGATCTGTACTTCCCCAGGGCCACAACATATTGGTGTTATGTAAACTGCTGTGCATTAGTTAAAGCTGTGAGCAAAACTAACGTTCCTGTCCTTGATCTCCAGAGCCTTTTGTAGGTATCTTTGTATCCAACTATTTTCTGATGTTTTCTCTTGCTTCTACTTGAATTCCCTTTAATGGATGATGATGATAATCTTTCACATTAATTCTCGACTTCTATATCTAGTTTTCTGATCTCTTCCTTTTTTAATTATTCTGCCATCAGTGACAGCTTCTTCTTGGAAAAGATTCTTGCCATTCAGATCTTAAATGAGCTTATTCATGGCCTGGGTTTGCATGTTTCTCTCATGAACATGTTGTTGTTATATGCCTCCCCCAAAAAAGGACCAAAACCAGACCATTTGCCTGTCTGTCTGTCTGTTTATTTATTTAGAGTTTTTGTATGCCGTCCCATTGCTTATAGCCTCGGTACAGCTCACATAAATAAACAAACATAATACAAAATAATACAAAAATGCAATTAACAATTAAAATCCGGAAACACCCTCATTTGATCCTCCCACCTTTTTCTTCATTATTTCTCTTCCTTTTCTCTATTTCTCCTTCTTTGTTTCTCTGATGGCACCAAAGCTACCATTCCACAAGTGTGTGTGGGGTAGAGATAAACTGCCTCCATCTGATGGGCATTCACCATGTCTTCTGTACATCCACCTAGACTAATGCCCCCACTCTCAGACATTTATGAAATAAGTGCTCAGAGATCAGGTGGATCATCTTTGTGCAGAACCTTGGAATAAGACCCTGCACGTGGCTGACATCTCAGTCATGGCTGAGCTCTCCCACCCATCTACAGCAGCCTCCGCAGCTTTGAATCATAGAAGAGTTGGAAAGGGAAGGGGCCATGAAGGCCATCAAGTCCAACCCCCTGCTGTTGCAGGACACCACGTTACACCATTCCACTCAGATGGCTGTCCAGGATCTTTCTGAATATCTCCAGTGTGGGAGAGCCCACCACCTCTCTAGGCAGCTGGTTCTACTGTTGTATTGCTCTGACAGTGGGGAAGCTTTTCCTGATGTCCATCCTGAATCTGGGTTGTCGCAACTTGAACTGATTATTCCGTGTCCTACACTCTGGCATCAGCAAGAGATCTTTACCATCCTCTTTGTGACAGCCTTTGAGGTACTTTCAGAGGGATATCATGTCCCCCCTCAGTCTTCTCTTCTCAAGGCTGAACATGCCCATTTCCCTCAGTCTCTCCTCATAGGTCAGTGTTTCCATACCCTGGATCATGTTTGTTGCCCTCCTCTGGACCCTTTCTAATTTACCTGCATCTTTCTTATATCTTGGTGCCCAGAACTGGACACAGTATTCCAGGTGAGGTCTGACCAGTGAGGAGTATAGAGGAACTATGACTTCTTGTGATTTGGAAGTAATACTTCTGTTAATGCATCCCAAAATAGCATTTGCCCTTTTAGCAGCTGCATCGCCAGTTCTGTTGAGCCACATATTCCCCATCTTGTATCGATGCATTTGGTCTCTTTTTCCTAGGTGGAGGACTTGGCACTTGTCCTTATTGAATCTCATTCTGTTGCTTTCAGCCCAGTGTTCAAGTTCATCAGGATCGCCCTGGATCTTCATTCTGTCTTCTAGGGTGTTTGCTATTCCATCCAGTTTGGTATCATCAGCGAATTTGATTATCTTTCCTTGCACTTCCTCATCTAAATCATTAACAAAGACATTGAAGAGCACTGGGCCCAGGACTTGAACCCTGTGGCACCCCAGTAGTTACCTCCATCCAATTTGAGAAGGTGCCATTGATGAGCACTCTTTGTGACTGATATAGCAGCCAGTTTTGGATCCACCTAATAGTTTTTCAATCTAGTCCAGTTTTTGCTAATTTGCTTATCAGAAAGTTGTGTGGCACAAAAGCTTTGCTAAAGTCTAGGTAGATTATGTGCACAGTGTTCCCTTTGTCCATTTGGGAGGTTACCCAGTCAAAAAGAGAGAAAGAGAGAGATTAAATTATTCTGACAGGATTTATTTTTGATAAATTCATGCTGGCTTCTATTAATCACTGCATTTTCTTCAAGATGCTTGCAGATGGATTTTTTAATAATTTGTTCCAGAATTTTTCCAGGGATTGATGTCAGACTAACTAGTCTATAACTGACTAAGCCAGGTTCGTCTTTTTGCCCGTTTTTGAAGATAGGGACAACATTAGCCCTTCTCCAGTTGTCTGGCACTTCTCCTGTTTTCCAAGATTTATCAAAGATAATAGCCAGTGGCTCAGAGAGTTTCTCCACTAGTTCTTTTATGACTCTGGGAAGGAGTTCATCGGGCCCTGGAGATTTGAAAGTGTTTTTTCCACCTTGGTATTCCTTGACCATTTGTCTGTCAATCTTGGGCTGCCATCTCTCCCTTTCAGCTTGTACTTCCTCTAGATTGCAGATTT